AAGCATTCACAATACACATTCTACCTGTAGTTGATCAGTCCGAAAAGGGACACTAGAGTTCGGAATTTTTTTTACTCCATGCCGTAAGGTATACCCCAAATGATTGTTGTTGCTCTTTTTTAGCGCAAAACTACACAATGGACAGTCTGCGTTTTGTACACCGCGGAAAGATGAGACTCAGGTTTAATCATCGTAAGTTCATAAACTTGCTGCTGGTCTGTTGGGACCCTCTTCTTTCACAAGTACAAGGACAAGCAAGATATAATGCTTGACTTAATAGCTAAAAGAATAACATCTAAGGTTGAATTTATCAGGCAACTTGAACCGGATTTAGTATGTTCCAAAATTAGAGTCGCGGGTTCGAATCCCCGTCCCACCAAACCTGCTCGCTCTTTTAGCCGTGGGGGTGTCATAACGTGATGGTCAATCCCACTATTCATTGGTAAAAGAGTAGCCCAAGAGTTGGCGGTCGGTGGTGATGACTAGCTGCCTTCCTTCTAGTTTTACACTGCTAAATTAGGGACGGCTAGCACAGATAACCCCCGTGTAGCTTTGCGCGAAAATCAAAATAAACCAAACCAACTCTCTATCATGTTTTTTTTTTATATCTTTGTGTCTACAGCACAAGAAGTAATAACAATTCAGAAGCTAGTTTATAAATGCTAATACAATTTCAGAATATTATTATTTTAAAATATCAAAGCATTTCACAACAAATAAATTATTTAGATTTACATTGTACTAAATACTTCAACTCTGAAGTCCACGGATTTACAGCCCTAAAACAGGGGTTTTATTCCCAGCGGTAGACACGGCAGAGAGTCTGATGTGGATTTATTATAAAAAAAAACACGCAAATCTCAAATCTTAATACACATGTAAATAATCAGAAATATGCTTATATCTCAATATCTAACTCTTGTTATTCTATACGATAATAGGTAAGATCTTGCTGTATTGAGTAACTTGACTTGAATAACCTATGAAATGTAACATAAGTTTAATTATATTATTAAGTATATATTTAAGGATTTTATTTCAATATTGTTTATTTTCACAGGTAAAAAATTTAGCGCATATTCGAATTATATGTTAAGAGTGGCAAAATATTAGTGTTGTTTGCTAAGTTCGTGTTTTTATGAACCAATATTAATCACTCATCTTATATAGATATTAATATAATAAGATTCAGTGTCTGTATGTGTGTCTGTGTGTCACGTAACTGCTAGATCCGCTGGTCGCGCCGATTTCCAAGTTGTACCAAACAAATTCTCTCTGTCCCGAAGTTTGCACAAAAGTAAAATATTTCACCCCGCCCCCCTTGGGGAAACCGGAGATTTCCCCTAAACATTTTTACGGAATTTCCCCGAAAGCGGTCTCTAAATTTGACAGTTATTTACATTAGAGCACGTAATTTAGTAGGCCTATTAATTACCGTTCGTAACTTGGTTAAAGAAATTAAATTTACATTATAGCAGCAATGATCATGAAACTGTAAAAGTGGAAATAGTTTGTTTTTTGAATTTCGCGCAAAGCTACACGAGGGCTATCTGCGCTAGCCGTCCCTAATTTAGCAGTGTAAGACTAGAGGCAAGACAGCTAGTCATCACCAGCCACCGCCAACTCTTGGGCTACTCTTTTACCAACGAATAGTGTAATTGACCGTCACATTATAACGCCCCCACGGCTGAAAGGGCGAGCATGTTTGGTGGGATGGCGATGCGAACCCGCGACCCGCAGATTGCGAGTCGAGCGTCCTAACCACCTGGCTATGCCGGGCCGAGTGGAAATAGTAGTTCAAGTATTAAACTTGCATTATAGCGGCCCTGTAAATGTGGACCATAGACCCACTGGTTCATAGATACACATATATATATATGTGTTTGTGTATAGTTACGTTGCCATAAATCAATTTTTACAATTTTAACGGATTGGTTTTCTTGTTGCTAAGCTCAAAGTTGCAGAATGGACTATCTGGGCTCTTTCCACCACGGGAAGCGAAACCTGATTTTTAGCGTCGTAGGCCTGTTGACTCATCACTTAGCCACTAGGGGGCATATATAAAGTGCATGTACTTGCTACCTACTTTATTAAAACGTCTTCACTCACATTTATAGAGAGCTCTATTCAACTGCTAAAGCATATTAGACTTATTATGTAAGTGCCAGTAAAATTCTAGTATGCGATCCGACAAAAATTTTCAAAGAGTTGGCGGTGTGTGACGTTGACTAAATGCCTTCCCTCTAGTCTTTCATTTCAAAATTAGAAACAGATAGTGTAGAAGCCTTCGTCTGGCTTTACGCAAAACATAATAGACAAACAAGCCGTTTATCTGAATTAGCACAACCTGAAATCCATTACGACGTGACAAGTTTAAAAACATATCCTGAATGAACGTTGTAAATATTTTCTAAACAGTTTTTTTCTATCAAGTTTATCCGTTTAACGCTGTTATTTGTTTTACAGGTGAATGTTTTCACTGTGATACGAACTAGATAACAGTAATAAAAACGAATACGTTTACTTGCCTTAAATATAAGTCATTCACTTTAATTTTAGTTTTAAACCCTAGTCACTAACTATTTGCTCAAGACACCTAATGGTTACACCTTTTTACTTGGCACATTGTTTTTGCACCGTGTATTTAAAAAATATCCCAGCAAAGCAGAGAAGTGCTTGCGACAGCACGGTGATTGATGTTGGGGTGAATGTGCTTGTTTTTAAACGTTTCCTAAAAAATACATTTAATAAACGTCAAATAAATTACTTGTCTGACCTAAATTATTACCTATACAGATAGGTAATAAAAATTATCTTAACGATAGTTTCGAAACATTTCCAGTCGTCATCTTACTGCTCGAAACTTCTTTTTTTAACCACAATTTCTCGATGTATTTTGTAATGAATATAAAACTAAAAATACAAGAAGGTATAATAACCTAAGATGTGAAATCCGTAATCTAGTTTATATTATTAATATCAATATCATTAAAA